TTCTTAGTATGCCCTTATCCCCTTTTTTCCCCAAATGGAGTACAGCGATTTCCATAGATTTTATAAGTGGCCACCATACCGGCCTCTGATCAAAAACTGGAGCTACCACAGTACATTGATGTATTTTATGTTCTCTCAGTAAACAAAGTATTGGTAAAATTAAATGAAACGGTGGAAAAACATAAGGGTTTTCTTCTTGTCTCAAATCCTGTGCAAAAACATTGACACCTGCAGAGGTCGGGGTCGGATAGAGCGAGAAATATTTGAGCGAGTCACCATTATTCGAGCTCATGACATTTGTCTCTGTAGCCATCAAATCTACCGTATGCGGTCCAAAACAGTCATCTACATATTCCCAGGTTTTAAAATCGAGCATACACTCTGTAGGAGAAATGTCTCTAGACGGTGCATCAGCTACATTTTCCTTTGAAGGGATATAACTCATTTTCAGATCTATGTTTAGCGCCATTGACAACTGGAATATTTCTTTAATTATATTCGTGAGACGGTCATCTCTACCCCCCTGATTGTTCCATGCATGCAGCACAGCCGTATTATCAACAAATAAATCAACTCTGTGATCTTTTATCTCTGATTCCAGGGACTGTATAGCTTTTAAAACCGCATGTGCCTCTTTTAGATGAATAGGGCGATCATCCGTTTGATTCCAGAAATCGCCGAAACGTAATCCCTGACTTTCCCCCGACAGTAACGCGACCCCATATCTGAAAGATGAAGCATCTGTTGCCATAGATAATTGTAAATGACGTTCTACTCTCCACGGGGAGCACCCATCCCACGTGTCAAGGAAACGCCAATACTCAATCTCTTCGCGCACTGACCCCGATAGCCGGACACACCTACTATTCCTCAGGCCAGCCGATATCGCTAAATTTACCTCACGTGTGTAGAGTTTTGCGGCCGGGACAACTAATCCCATAGAAACACATTTACCAGCAAAACGCTGCAACGTCTTGACACTAACGTCTTTATGTGACAAAATTGTTTCTCTTAATTTTACAAATCGCTCTTTCTTATCATGTGGTAGCGTGTAAGCTTGTTTTTTAGAGTCAACTAAAAATCCCAAAATTTTTACACAAGTTGTCGGAATCACTTGACATTTCTGTATGGACAGTGTATAACCCAGACGCGTCAATATTTGTAGTAGTTTTTGAACCATCTCGTTTGATTCATTCGCGAGTTGTTTGTCTCCCCCCTTTATAACACCATTCAATGTGGGCCCCGTTACAGCAAACCTGTAATCTATGTACTGAATTGTACTGAGGCCACAGTTCCTCAGGTATGACGTAACTTGCATCCCTATTGACTGGTATATATATGGAGATCCTTTCCATCCAAATGGTAAGGTGGTATACGAAAACACCCAACCCCCAAATTGAACTCCAATGTATGTTTCGGACTCCCTCGAGAGGCGCACATGATCATAACCTGATTTTTCATCACAGCAAACTATATATGAATTCTTATCTACTAATCTATGGATGTTTTTCAATGTTTCTAATTTGAAAGGCTGATCTTTTGTCCATAAATTCAAAAACCTTTCGTCATGACAAAACCGTGGCTTAGATGGCTCAACGGTCAGAGGCATAATGATTTTGGTAATTCACATTCACCAACTTTCCCTCACAATCTCATGGAACCATTTCTTACTCTTTCACTAAGCTCTATTCTGATGAAATCGGTGAACGGTTTACATGAATGCGCATTTTGAAAATGCCTAGATGGATGGGTACTGCTGTCATATGACTGGTCTTGAAAATTCCCCCTGAATGACCTCATTAACGGCTCTATATGTACTCCCTTCTCAATCCAACCCTGTACAGTGCCTGACATATCGTCCGAATTAGACTTTGTAATCTCTAGCCATTCTGCACGAACCCCTTCCTTGACCTCTATAGGTACCCCCTCCCATATTGAAGTAGCGACGATTATTTGCATAAGGGTGACCCATCTGTACGGGGGAAAAAGGAGTGGCCTGTGGCATGATTTGGAGATAACTGGGGGTCTGGGACTGAGGCTGACCATACACATTTAGTAACGGAGACACCATCTGAAGTTCAGAGGCCTTCGGAGGGGACTTGGGCTGCTCTATCGGTTTTTTCATTGCCTTAGCGAGTGCCCTCCCAACAATATCAGAGGTTTCCCCCCCGAGTACAGATACACAAAATGCTGCAACATCTATTTTGTCCTGGTTGTTTAATGCTTGTCTGGAAAGTTCCTCGTATAGTAATTTATCGTCGTGATTTAATTTCCGTGTTATATTTGATAAATCCTCCAAACACGATAGTATCAATGGAACGCTAGGTGAACACTGCATGGCCAGATGCCTCACCTTATCTTTAATTTCCTCCATGGCACTAGTTTTCTCCTGTTTTTGCTGCTCCTCGAGCTCTTTTATCCTTTTCTCTAGCATGCTGGTGTCACTGCTGCATCTCTTTTTGGAGGTGGTTCTTTATGCTCCTCTACAGCCTCTGACAGATCCTGTCCACTCGGCTGACCGATCTCATTAGCATGGAGGATTGTGTAATGCAGAAGAACTTCCACATTATCTCGCGTGTCCTCTTTCCCTGCCATTTCCAAAATCTCTCGGGCCGTGTCACCCGTCAAACGTTTGAAATTACTAACAGGGCCTCCTCCTTCCTTCATGACTTCTCATCTTCTTAATTATAGGCAAGATGTTTTTTCCTTCCAGCGAGTGCGGCTTTCTCAAAACAGGAGGTGGACCCGTACTGAATTACAACAAACAACCGCAAATTATAGATAACATCTCTTTTATATCACAATATATTCTCATTATATCCTCTCGCTTTATTTATTATATAGATCCACCGCAAGCTAGCCGTCCCCTTACGTAATATAACAGACCTACACAAGTCTATACATTGTCACATGCTTCTCAGATCAATCAACACTACGACCAAAAGTCCTTCAGATCACTCATATAGGATACGCTTGCTCTCTTCAGCGCGTAACACCTCGTGTGTCTTATTACTTAGCTTTAACACAAATACCCTCATCGGTATTCAGTGTTTTATGCGGAACCAACATGGCATTTACTCAAACACAAAACCCTCATCGGCGTTCACTGATAGTGATAATAATAATAATGCCCTCTGCGGCATATCAATAGCATGCGATCAAAATAGAAGTTATTTACCTTGTTAATAAGTGACTCCCAAAAGCACGTCTTGTCCGTCTCGCGCCCAAATCGGAAAAGAGGCTGAGCATGTCGGTATCTCCCAGAATTCACTGGGGATGCAGAGAAATCACAATATTTCTTGAAATTTCGCCTGTGGCCCCACAGCGATGACCCCGTTTCAGTGTCCCAGACCTGTGACGTCACAAGTTCAATGGGGTCAACTCAACCCTATTAGATTTTACCAAAGAGCGATAGGAATACTGTGATATCTGCAGTCTGTCATGTGATTAACAAAGTTTTCATCTTCTTTTTATTGTGATTACACACCCATAGGCATTTGTTTTAACGCTGAGGTGTTGTGAAAGGTGCTCATATCGAGGAGGATTAAAACACGTGTTGTGTATGGATGTCGGAACACGCATGCAAATAGTTTCTCATTTCCACGCAATTCCCTTCAACTTATTAGTGTTTAGAAACAATGTGTACAGTTTGTTGAAAGTGGGAAAGACCTATGAAATGTTCCTATTGTGTTCATTTTATAAAAACGAACAAAGTCGTTCCGGCCTCTCCCGGTCCAACATCCTACTCGTTCACCTCGGCCCCTAAACAATGTGATGTCTGTTTTCTTCAACGACATACATAGATCTACAGGAACATATATAATTTGAATATATTTTTGATGTTATACAAATGAACTACGTCTTTCATTTAATGAAGGACCTTTATGTTATATTGGCTGAGAGCCATGAAATACCACGGACTTGTATATATCTAATATATGTTCGTGGAAGTACGAAAAGTTTTTTTTTTCAGCAAACGCCTTTGAGATCTCGTACTCGGGGAAGGGGGGTGCTCATATTTGTCAACAGAAACATTTACAAAGGGAAATTGATTCATATCTATACATGTATGTGTTATTCAGTGTCTTGACTTCGGGGTTTTTCAAAATCGTTTACGAGACAGCTAAATATAACACTAATTAACAGATTAAACATGGCTGACGTGCAACTAACAGTGATAAATTATGGCACTCAAAACTAATTTTATAACTTACAATAGCAGGATAATTGTTTATCACTAACACTATGATATTTTTTGTTATTGATATACGATTAATTTAACAGATAAACCCAAACCCGTATAAGGCGAACCGTGATTTAAATACACATCCTTTGTAAATCTTATGATTTGGGGCAACTTTATCTTTATTTGAAAATGAATTCTTAGACAATAGAGCTCAATAAAATATACTAAATTTGATGGGGATATATGTGGATAAAGCTACATATACATTTTGGTCTTCACAGCTATACTTCACCGCATTGATTAGTCTTTTTGGCCTGGCTGGAAATGGGTAGGGAGTCTTAAATTGGGAGGAAGCAGGAATACCCCCCCCCCCCCCAAAAAATATGGTCTTCAATCATCAAGACATGTGACCCTGTACCTTTCCATATCCAATTGGAGAATAAAACTCTGCTTTCTTGGTGACAGCCAAATAAAATGTCGGTACTTGTATTCTGAAAAATTATGAAATAATAAGAATTCATTGTTAGTCAGAAGTTCAAAGACAGCTTCCGGTAAAACACGGTTGTACAGTTAAGGATACCTTTATTACAGATAAGCCAAGAAACACCAAGAAAGCATTTTCTCTTGTCAATTTCTTTACATTAATTATTCATAAGGAGTATCATATTATATGACCATGAAGAATTCTGTGATAAGATTATATGAAAAAATAACTTTCTTCACTACATGGTTCGTTTAACATCTCTTCATTTAACCATAAAGTTGACAACAATTTAAATGCATAATATAAAAATTGGTGTAATTTGCCTTTGATCTACAGAGAATGTCCACAGTTTGAGTATTGCATCTATGATGAAGAAGAATGTCGCCCTGGAAGTAGTTTATGTCGCTGCATGTATGGTAAGTTTGATAGTCAGGAAAACCTGTTTTTTTCACTTTTGCTTGAAGAATGAGGTTAAAGGAACTTGCTAAGAATATAAAACTTTTTTTTAATTACCAGTACACTCGTATATTTCGTTTGGGTGGTTTTAAATCCGCTTCACTACCACATAAAATCTAGTTTGATTATCTAGACTACAGGACAAGCCAGTACATCACTCAAGCTTACTATATGCTATATTTATTATCCCCTCGCAACAAAAGAGGGGATTTGTATGTTACACTCTTTATCATGGCTTTTGCGACTTCATTCCTCAACAGAATTTCATGAAACTTCGTACCAGTCTTTGGTATGGAAGTACCTTGAGGAAGTTCACGTATTAGGTTATTGTGTTAAAGGTCAAGGTCACTTTTACTATTTTTACCAAAAACTTTGTTGTTGCTCTAGCAACTTCTTTTCCTCTTACACATGTCACAATTTGTGAATGTGAGGGTATTTGTATCACTTGTGATGCCTTGTTTTACTTGTACTTTGTTATGAGTGACCCTATGATCATTTTGGTAATAATTTTTCAGACTGTATAGGGGTGTACAATTTGATATTTTTAGTACTAACCTTTTAGCAAAATTCCACTTACCCATCCTATATTTTTAGGTTACCCACAGGGGTTTGTTACAAATGTCTAAAATACATATAAGATACACATATATATGGTATACAAATATGTTAAATGGAGCATAAACATACATGTGTGTTAATGTTAATGTGTGCTGTGACTCATATCAGTATGGTATATGTGTATCTTGGACATTTGTAACAAACCCCTAAAGGAATAAGATTAACCAGTCTCCAGACTATGGATTGCTTTACATTATTTTAATGTTTAAGTTGTTATTATGAGACTACAGATTGCCTCAAATTGTTTTGATGTGTAAGTTGTTATTATATTAGGAGACTATAGATTGCCTGACATTATTTTGCTGTGTAAGTTGTTATTATATTAGGAGACTATAGATTGCCTGACATTATTTTGCTGTGTAAGTTGTTATTATATTAGGAGACTACAGATTGCCTGACATTATTTTGCTGTGTAAGTTGTTATTATATTAGGAGACTATAGATTGCCTGACATTATTTTGCTGTGTAAGTTGTTATTATATTAGGAGACTACAGATTGCCTGACATTATTTTGCTGTGTAAGTTGTTATTATATTAGGAGACCATAGATTGCCTCAAATTGTTTTGATGTGTAAGTTGTTATTATGAGGCTACAGATTGCCTCATATTGTTTTGATGTGGATGTTGTTATTATGAGGCTACAGATTGCCTCATATTGTTTTGATGTGGATGTTGTTATTATGAGGCTACAGATTGCCTCATATTGTTTTGATGTGTGTGTTGTTATTATGAGGCTACAGATTGCCTCATATTGTTTTGATGTGTGTGTTGTTATTATGAGGCTACAGATTGCCTCATATTGTTTTGATGTGTAAGTTGTTATTATGAGACTACAGATTGCCTGACATTATTTTGATGTGTAAGTTGTTATTATATTAGGAGACTATAGATTGTCTGACATTATTTGGATGTGTAAGTTGTTATTATATTAGGAGACTATAGATTGCTTTACATTATTTTGATGTGTAAGTTGTTATTATGAGACTGTAGATTGCCTGACATTATTTTGATGTGTCAGTTGTTATTATGTTACACAGGTTATGGTGATAATGACAATGTATCACTTACAGGTATTGTAACATAACATTTAATATTTTTACTAAGGTTGTGTTTTGGAAGGACATTACTTGCGCTATCAGTATCGATATATTTCTGGTAAAGGAATATGTTTCGTGAGGACCCAACAAAAAATAAGGTAAGATTCAGAATTTGTAGTCATTTTACATGTACACTGTATATCTTGAATGTTTTCCACTATCAACATTTTCAAAAGGAAAACAGCATTATAATTAACCATGTATATCATGATTATTTTCCAATACCCAGTATTTGCATTTTCAAAAGGAAACTGGTGTTTCATGATCAGTTGACCATGTATTTTTTTTACCAGTTTAGTTTTTCACAATTTTCTTTTTCAAAATAAATAGAACTGTGCATGTGTTGAACCTGTTACAATTACATACAAAGCAAAGACAATGCAGTATGAGGAATACATTGTATTAGGTATTGGGAATGGCTTTAGAATGCTCTTGAAAAGTACAGAGGTCCAGAGAGACACTGCTCTACTTTAATTTGTAACATTATACAGTACACTGTCTATGTATGAAGCTTGTTAAATGTGCATATTGTTTTTTTTCTTTTTCAGGCAGATTGTAAACAGCAAGTGAATGAATTTTAGGACATCTATTTGCTATTCCAGCCAAAATGGAAATGTGTCAAAACCGTGCTGTAACAACTGAGGTGAAGTGGAAATAAGGGAGGGTTCTGGGGAAATAAGTGAGGGTTCTAGGGAAATAAGTGAGGGTTCTGGGGAAATAAGTGAGGGTTCTGATAATCATTGTAAATTGTAGTATACAGTCTCATATACTGCAATTTGGTTTACTAGCGACATATAGGCAAATGCAACACAGAATGTAAATATATGGTGTTAAATGACCATGTCTGTGTTTGTATAACAAAGACAGGTGTCAGTATGGCAATCTACTGTTGATTTTGTGTTTTTTTCACCATAATACAATTGGGCTCATTTAAATATACTTGAGACTGAAAAATATGCAACAGTCGTTTGGACATTCTTTTAGTTTTTGTGAAAATATCATTGTGACTTGGTGAATAGTCTAGTAAAAACTGAAACACTTATATAGAAATCCACATCACTTCATCATTGCATTTATTTATCTACAAAGTAGGTTAGCATAAGAAATCCGGATATGTTTTGTGATGGGTTTTACAGTAATTATGTATGGAGGCTAAAACTATCTATTTTATATATAGTGTATGTAGAAGTCGGTGGAAATCATTGATTGTCAAGTGCTGCACAAATAACCTGTGATCCTATAAGCAATAACTATGTAAATAACCTAACATTACCTTTATTCCATGAAAAATGCTCAATTACTTTACTTTGTTTGAACACATTCCTTTAATTAGTCTCTACTTGAAGAAACCAATTATGATACTTTTTTGTTTGAATGAACACACTGGTTGGACTAGTCATCAAATTAAGAAACGGGCCAAGTGGTCAAATTAACTTTGACCAAGACTTAACAGGCTTGTAGTTATTTCCAGAGGTCTTTGGCGAAGACTTACCAGGCCTGTAATCATTTTTGGGAGCTATTTGATTGTAATATATTTTGCAGGTCTGCTCAAAACATTTACAGGTAAATGAATTGATACAATCATATAAATAAAAATGCTCTGGTGTTTGGTAAGGATCTCCTGGTCAAGCCTTATTAACATTGTGATATCGTGCGTCAAATTTTTCCTATGCCAGTTTCATAATTTACAGAAATTGAATAATTATGAAAAAACATGTATTACAAATTTAATTCTTATCTTATCTGCGTAATTGAAGCTGCTACCTTTTCAAAATTCATGGCGGGATATTGCGCTGGCTAAATTTTGAGTCTAGTACCGACTTTTTGTGTGACACTCAAGAAATTTCTATGTTAACCGGAACCTATAAATATGGTAAAATATTGTCAATGTATCTTTATGAGATTTGCATCATGAATAATAATTTATATTTTGTATAACTTTCGAAATCAACTCATGCTGTTCTGTGTTTGATGACAGTGAGGCTTTCTACCGTATTGAAATTAAATACTACAGCCACAGATTCCAATCCTAGGAAGTGTGTTTGTGTGTTGACGAACCTGCATAATTGCCACATTCTACACTGTTTTGTATATGTATATATATGAGGGGTTTGTTTTAAATGTATTTATTCGTTTTGTTATATTGACAGGTTTTATATATTTGATGCGTGATAACTGAACTCGTACAGTTCAGTGCTGTTGATGTGTGAATCTATGTTTGACACTGGTTTATATCAGTATTGTACCAATTCATTCCTTTGCAATCTGTAGCAATGCTGATACCAGTGGTATATCATTACCATACTAGTGGTATATCATTACTATACCAGTGGTATATCATTACCATACCAGTGATATATCATTACAATACCAGTGGTATATCATTACTATACCAGTGATATATCATTACAATACCAGTGGTATATCATTACTATACCAGTGGTATATCATTACTATACCAGTGGTATATCATTACCATACTAGTGGTATATCAATACCATACCAGTGGTATATCATTACTATACCAGTGGTATATCATTACTATACCAGTGGTATATCATTACTATACCAGTGGTATATCATTACTATACCAGTGGTATATCATTACTATACCAGTGGTATATCATTACTATACCAGTGGTATATCATTACTATACCAGTGGTATATCATTACTATACCAGTGGTATATCATTACTATACCAGTGGTATATCATTACTATACCAGTGGTATATCATTACTATACCAGTGGTATATCATTACTATACCAGTGGTATATCATTACTATACCAGTGGTATATCATTACTATACCAGTGGTATATCATTACTATACCAGTGGTATATCATTACTATACCAGTGGTATATCATTACTATACCAGTGGTATATCATTACTATACCAGTGGTATATCATTACTATACCAGTGGTATATCATTACTATACCAGTGGTATATCATTACTATACCAGTGGTATATCATTACTATACCAGTGGTATATCATTACCATACCAGTGGTATATCATTACCATACCAGTGGTATATCATTACTATACCAGTGGTATATCATTACTATACCAGTGGTATATCATTACCATACCAGTGGTATATCATTACTATTCCAGTGGTATATCATTACAATACCAGTGGTATATCATTATCATACCAGTGATATATCATTACTATTCCAGTGGTAAATCATTATCATACCAGTGGTATATCATTACTATACCAGTGGTATATCATTACCATTCTAGTGGTATATCATTACCATACTAGTGGTATATCATTACCATACTAGTGGTATATCATTACTATACCAGTTGTATATCATTACTATACCAGTGATATATCATTACCATACTAGTGGTATATCATTACCATACTAGTGGTATATCATTACCATACTAGTGGTATATCATTACTATACCAGTGGTATATTATTACTATACCAGTGATATATCATTACTATACCAATGATATATCATTACCATACTAGTGGTATATCATTACTATACCAGTGATATATCATTACCATACCAGTGGTATATCATTACCATACTAGTGGTATATCATTACTGTACCAGTGGTATATCATTACTATACCAGTTATATATCATTACCATACCAGTGGCATATCATTACTATACCAGTGATATATCATTACCATACCAGTTATATATCATTACCATACCAGTGGCATATCATTACTATACCAGTTATATATCATAACCATACCAGTGGTATATCATTACCATACCAGTGGTATATCATTACAATACTAGTGGTATATCATTACCATACCAGTGGTATATCATTACTTTAGCAGTGGTATATCATTACCATACCAGTGGTATATCATTACTATTCCAGTGGTATATCATTACTATACCAGTGATATATCATTACCATACCAGTGGTATATCATTACTATACCAGTGGTATATCATTACTATACCAATGGTATATCATAACTATACCAGTGATATATCATTACCATACCAGTGATATATCATTCCCATACCAGTTGTATATCATTACAATACCAGTGATATATCATTACCATACCAGTGGCATATCATTACTATACCAGTGATATATCATTACCATACCAGTGGTATATCATAACCATACCAGTGATATATCATTCCCATACCAGTGGTATATAATTACCATACCAGTGGTATATCATTACAATACCAGTGGTATATCATTACCATACCAGTGGTATATCATTACTATACCAGTGGTATATCATTACTATACCAGTGGTATATCATTACTATACCAGTGATATATCATTACCATACCAGTGGTATATCATTACTCGACCAAGTTTAATGACCACTTTCAGTGGACTTATAATAGAGTTATGGCCCCTTGAATAGCAAAAAAAAGTCATTATCTGCCGTCCTGTGTAATAACTGCAACAAATGTTAACCGTTTTTCTTCAAACTTTAGTACCAGTGTTGAATGCCTCAAGGGCTTGACCAAATTTGATGACCACTTTCAGCAGACTTTATTTGGCTGAATTATGGCGCCTTAAATAACGAAAAACATCATTATATGCTGTTTCTGTTCATTAACTCCCACCAATATTATCTGCTTGTCCTCAAACTTGGTAACACATTAAGGGCTCGGCAAAGTTTGACAACCGCTTTAATCGGACTCCATTATGCCGAGTTATGGCCCTTTGATTAACGAAAAAAGTCATTATCTGCAGTTTCCGCTTAGTAACTCTAGCAAATATTAGCCAAATTCCTTCAAACTTAAGAAAAATGTTTGTGTTCCTCTGTCTTTCCACCCATCTCGGGCACACTTTGGTTTTCGTGTAATAATTGCTGTAGATATTGTTTACATATTTCAACAAAATTCTGTATGCACATCCGACTCATGCTAAGTTTGCAAACCCATGTCTTCTGTACATATTTACAGATAATTAATGAGGTTAGTAAATTCTGATGGATTAAACGATTAATTTACACCTTAAAGTTTCAAGCTATACATTATGTCTCAACGGCATGATACTCACATGTTTAAACCTTACCTCAATCATGTTAACCTACAATATGTCCTACAAGCGGGGGATATATATTCCACGAATTTGCTTGTTGCTTTACTGATGGTACATGTATAGCTATGCTGTACCAACTGTATAGCATTGTTTTACAAGTGGTATAGCATTACTTAACCAATGTTATATCATTTTCATACCAGTGATACATCATTGTTTTACCAATGGCATATCATTGCCTTGCCAATGGTATATCATTGCTTAGCAAAGATGTAATCTATAGCTATAGTTCATGGGAACAGTGGTTATTGAGTGATATTGGATGTCAATATTGTTGACCAATTATCAAACATATCTTTGATTTAAGTTAATTTGAAATACTTGTTTTAAGTCGTTATCAATTTTTTTCATGTGCATTATGTACAACATTTAGCAAATATTACTGAAATCTCAATGACATAATTGTTGTAGGTCTGGTTTGGTCAGCATGAAGTGTTATGAAGTGCCAGTTTGCCAACCTGATCACTGGTTTTTGACAGCAGACCGTCTACTTCCTTGATACTCTGAATAACTCCTACAGTGAAGAGGCATTTCCTGAACAATGGAGGTAGTGCATATAAAAATGTATCATGTTTCACAATGTTTGAAACTGTTTATATGCTGGTATACATGTAAATTATTATTAGGTCACCACCCGTCTGTAAACTTTTAGATATTTTCTTAAGAACCGGGGAATGAATCTTTTTAAACTTGGTAAGCTTCATCCTTGGTGTCCACTTGTCCTGAAGTCGAACAGCTCAGTGGGTTTTGACTACATTTGGCCTTGAGTTCGAGTATCCTTGGTCAAAAGGGACCCAATTTTGTATAAACAGAGGGTGTGACCCTCCTGGGGGCAGAGGAGCGGGGTCCAATAGGGGGGAAATATTGATAAGTGTTTAAATTATTCTCTTTCAATATGCTGAGAGACAGAGCCTATAGTTGCAGTACATGATGTATTTAATCACAATATGTTCCCGTGGTTGTTTCAATATCCAGTTGAGGGATTCAGGCCCTCTAGGCCTCTTGTTTGTCTTTTTTTTTTTTTTACATCTAATGGTAACTAGTGATGGGCCAATACTTGATAATATGACTCAAAATTGATAAGCTTGCCTTTTCAATTATTGATTACGGGTACAAATTCCATAATTTGATCTGTCCATTACTGAACTCAAGTGTCAAATGTAGATTGTAAGTCTGAGCTATTTATTTTGTTAAAGGCTTAACAAAAATAAATCAGGTTGGCTTCCTGTTACATGTTAAGTGATTCCTTGAAATTTTACCAAAATAATAGGTAGGCATAAAAAAATAGGATGGTTTCCTGTTACATGTCTGAACAAAAATAGGAATTAGGGTTGGGTACATGTACATGTAGTTAATGTTTTTTCCTTTTTCACAACGCTTATGTAGGAAGTGATCCTGACTTTAACAGTGCTTCCTTGAAATTTGACAAAAAATAGAGGAGGCACAAATCATTAGGGAGGGTAACTGGAAACAAACAACATTTCTTGTTTGGCTCAATATTTATTATATGATTGATGTTATAGTTAATTATGTAAAATACTGAAGCAGGAAACCTAATGTATAGTTAACAACTCTGTCTATTGATTCAGTAATTAAGCACCATAAAATTATAGACTTCATAATTATGCAATCATTCATCCATCAGTTTACTACTTCCAGTAAACTGACCATCGGATATGCTTTTGAAACCAGATGCCTGTCACTTAGGTGACATTTAATGCAAAGACATATTAAACACACTACAATTAAACTTCATGCTGATCAATAAAAGAATTTAATATTTTGTTAAGTTACCTAAATGGAATGTCAAGATTTATATGGATAACCCGTCATAGTTTTAACTTGTTATTTGAATTGTCCTCTTTATTCAGCGACATCCTCGAGACACAATAACAGAAGCTTTCTAAAGACATGCAAACCATGAGATGGAAACTTGCTTTGTAATTCACTACCAGTGACTGGCAGTCCTGAAACAGGTGGTTAGCTTAAGTATATTCAAAATGAGGTGTTATTATAATAAATTAGTCCTATTATCATAAACACAGTTTCGAAGTTCCATAGTGGGATCTGTATATATACTTAAAATATATGTTTCTTCTATGAAATGATGCTGATGTATTCAAGGTATATTATGTTTTATTGTAGGTTTAGTATGAACCAACTTTTAGTCAAATTTCAAAAATTGAATGGGTGACCTCGCAGAGTATATATTGCTATTCTCCCACAAAAGCATATCATACAGTTACAACTATCATATCTACAGTGTCTATGTCTGATTCATGACAATATTTTATTTTTATTTTTTCTCCAGAATGTCCAACTTTTCTTGGCAAATCCAGACCTACCATCAGGATGCAGTGTCATGTAAGACACTGCAAGAGCTTTGTCTTTCTGGGATTCCTAAGCCTTTGAATGGAGAAAACAAGACATTGCTGCATATATGACGATGAAAATACCATATTGTTGGACATTAATTAAAAAGAGCATTGACCAATGACATGTATACCGTGGCTAGTGATTGATAATTGTTGTGATTTTTCTGATTTGGCCATACAGTCAGAATGAAGGAAAGACAAATATCATGGTTCATGAACTTCAGATACACTTTTAAGCTCCTCTGGTACAAACTGTCATAATCTTATGGTATAGTGAAGTGTCTGTCATAAGTCTGTCTGTCAACTTTTTCTTTAAATTACTTTTTTAAATTGAAAATCACAGGGCCCTTATATTTGGTCAGCAAGTACCTGGGATAAATACTTTAAAGTTTCATCATGTAGATTACCTTGACCTTCTTTCAAGGTCACAGGTGTCCAAAACAGGCATCAGTTTCTTAAAAACTGGTCTTGAGTCATGATATTTCATGATGATTATATTTTATTCAGTATTCCTTTGCATTGCTTTGTTTAAAAAAAAAATGTTTTAAATTGTTCCATCAAATATATGTACATGTATGTAGATATATGTAATGACAGCATACTTGTTGATAACTTTGTTGTAGTGATTGTTTTGTTAACTTTTATGCATATTGATATTTTTTATGAAATTAAATCATTGACTTATGTAAATATGTATGTTGTTATTTATCTTCATCTTTGTATGTTTGCCTCACAACAGAAACGTATACGTCTCTGCTCACAAGTTACATTTTTTATTCCCAGCCCCTACTCAACGAAGTTTGCAGAGGATGAATAAATGGATTCGTTCTCGACCTCCATTCCCATTAAGAAAAACTGTTGGGTCCATTTCTGGGTACATCTAGGTAATAAATTCATAATGATGGCATCAATGACACAGCTATAGGGACACTGATTAATGCGTGTAGATGCTGAATTTGACTTACATTTTAGACTCCAGTGACTTCCTTCTACATTGTACATCAGTGCACATTAGGAAAAGTTGTGCATCCCCATATCTCAGTAACAAAAACTATTATATGGTTAATACTTAAATTAATGATGCAGGTAGGGTTGCTCTACTGAATGCATACATGCATGATGAGGATGCTTAAGCTGACCTTTCATTAAACACTTCAGTACCTTTCTTTTATTTTAAATATAAATGTAACAGGAAAGAGAATAGTGTGCTTCCACCGGGGATCGAACCCTTGATCTCCAGGTTCCTAGTTGGACGCTCTACCACTGAGCTAAAGGGAAATTCCCTCTAGCTCTAAGCTAGGAGGCGACCTTAATCCTAATGTACAATTGAACCCTGCCACACTACTCCAACCTTTTAAAATGTGTTCGCCCTCGGACACCACAACCCATGTTCTAACTCCCTGTCACTACAGGAAGGGCCACAGACACCATTTGTAACAAGAAAGAGAATAGTGTGCTTCCACCGGGGATCGAACCCTCGATCTCCAGGTTCCTAGTCGGACGCTCTACCACTGAGCTAAAGGAAAATTCGCTCTAGCTCAAAGCTAGAAGGCGACCTTAATCCTATGTACAATTGAACCCTGCCACATAAATAAACTTTAACCTTAAAAGGGAATTGCATATCTTGGTAATTGTAAACGCTGCATAGATATTAACTTTAAAAAAATGTTCAGTGTTGCAAACTAAATATATTTGTCATTATATTAGAGCAATTAAAGGTTATTTATTTGATTTGAATTATTCTGTTAGAAATATATAACCATTCACAATTGTATAATTTACCACAGAATTAAGTCTGTGAATTTACTAAATTTTGACATGGACATCTGCTATGGACTTGTCTATGAAGCAGTGGATATTGATGACAGCACGTTTTTGTTGGGTTTGAAAGTTTGTATGATTTTGTTTCAATTTAACATTCTTATCAAAAACTCCTGTTTCATTGGTATGGACAAAAACAGATAATGGTTTACTCTGATTGACTCTAAAAATAACTTGTTAGGTGGAGGAAGTTGGTTCATATTCTTCTATCTTTGACCTATGGTAATCTTGCCTCAAAAGCCACTTAAAACTCTTCTCCAAACTTCAGCTAAAATGTATATAAGAATATGACATGCACAGTACAGGTGATAAAGAATTAATTGTAATTGGGGTGGTGGTGGGGTGAGATTGTCATAGGGGGTAAGAGATTGTTAATTAAGTTACTGCAACATTTAACCTACATACTTTTGCTTATTTTTTTTTCACTTTTGTTTTAAATGTGTGTATTGGAGTGGGGAAGAAAAGCTCTACGCTCTGTCAATATTAGACTCGCATTTAGTTTATGTGATTATTTTCTGGACTTGAGCAAGTCTAATTGTTCTTCTTGTGCAGGCCCTTAAAATGTTTCTCGCACTGTCCGAGTCTACATCAATATTGACGGCGTCATTAATATGTTCTTGAACATATATTTAATTTATGCAGTAATGAATATAAGAACCTTAAAAATACAATAGTCAAAACGTAAACAAATAACGACATTGCGTCCGTACGGTGATCCGGATGCGGTTGGGGAGCGGTCCGTGTATATTTAAGACGATCGCAGCGCAGCTTGTCGTCATAATGAGGAAACCTAACGTATTTCAACTGCTGGCTTACTCGTTTACTAGTTGACTAGCTAGCTATTTCTGAATTAAAACTTTGTTTCGAATTTCTGTTTTTACAAAAATGACGAAAGCTTCAGATCAACCGATAGAATGTACTGAGTATATAACATCACGTAAGTCTGGAATGGATTGAATACTACAAGCTAACACGAAATCGCGATCGGTAAAACTAGCATAGCATGAAATGAAAACTAGCATAGCATGGAATGAACACGCAATATATTTGTAAACGAGTGCAACAACACAAATGTACATAGCATGGAAAAAGACACTTATCAACTAAGGAATTAATACAAATGAACATAGAATTAATACAAATGAACATAGAATTAGATTCAAAACCAGAAGTAACTAATTCTATAACTTATCAACTAGGGAAATAATACAAATGTACATAGAATTAGATTCCAAACCAGAAGTAACTAATTCTATAAAAAATAATTATGGCGACTGATACCTTCCATAAAAACACAGATAAAAACACGGATAAAACGTGATTCGTTTCAGTATACAAGTATAACGGCCATACAAATATTCTAACTAGAATCTTAGCAATACAATTTTTCATAAAACGTCATTTAATGACCACAGGCATTGGCCTCGTCTGTTTATTGACCTCAACTGACAGGCTGGTCCGAGTTCATATCTGTGGTAACATCTATATTTACTTAAGTTTACTCAACTTAACGATTGAGAAATGAATATATAACCGTTACTGAAACGAAAAAGAAAACGCAAATTCAATCTAATTAAAATTATATCTTCACATCGCTCCCGTTTACTGATATGTCGCGTTGAAGATCTAACAACATCCCATAGAGGGTCGCGTCAGAGGTCAACTTGAATGCATTATCGTATTTATAACAAGCCAATCAAAACGCGACATACCTCTTTCTTTCAACCATTCAGAAAGCAGGACCTGTAGCATTTAATGCAGACACCTCGTAGCCCAAAATCCACTTTTTCGTCTGGTCCAGTGATAGTTTGAATATTGCGAAGCCTGTCATTGGTTAATTTTAGTTTCAGGTTGTTAAACTTTTTAACGACAACATCACCAGAAAAGGAAGTCCCTCTTATTTCAAAGCAAAATCCACAAATTGTACAAACGTTGTCTTGTAGATAGACACGGCGTGGTGTCATGGGCGCCGCCATTTTCGATGCTCATTTGACACCTCTCGGTCTTTTATCATAGCAAGTGTGTTCCGAAATCATTACATCATCACTTACAGAAATGCGTAAGCTCTCATCTGATTGGTTAATGCAAAGGTCGCCTGAACATGACCCTCTACGGGATGTTGTTAGATCTTCACCGCGACATATCAGTAAACGGGAGCGATGAGAAGATATAATTTTAATTAGATTGACGCAAATTAAAACTTAATGTTTAGAAAAATAAAATCTTCTAAGAATTATGTCTAAATTTCAGATGTATAACCGTTTATATTGAATATTGATGTTACCTGGTCGATCATGATTGACTTGAATCAAAGTTCAAATGGCAGCAGTTTTGAAACTTATCGAACAGCTATATAGCACCTCTAGTTCTTCGTTGCATCCAGAACGTTCAATCTTTGTATTTGAATTTCGATTTATTCTTGGAAAAGTGCTTTGGTTAACTGGAGAAGGGTATTTGGGTTGGTTGGGTTGGGTTGGGGGTAGGGAGAATCCTTGTACGCTTCAGTCTATTGTAACATGTGGCTGTTATCTTGCTGCAACGTTAGATTATGCTGCCAACAAAATGCACAACATGGGGAATATAAGGATCTCCTCCCGATAGCGTACGTACGGCCGTTAAATGATTCCCATGGACAATCACCAACGGTGTCTTTAAACCAATGGAGATATCCCCAAACCATAACCGAACCACCCCTAAATTGGTCATGCGTCAAAACAAAGGCGTCAGCAAAGCATTCGTCTCTACGTCGGTACACTAGTTGACGGCCATCAGCGCTGAAAATAATGTGAATCGAGATTAAACTGTAAAGAGCATGGACCTCCAACGTCTCATAGAAAATAATTAGATTAGATCTAAGTCCGTGGTGCCGTCATCCATTGCATACGACAATCAAAATATAATCAAAATGGTATGCCTATATTTTACCCGAATAAATATTCTTATTATTAATTCGACGTGCTCGACGTTGCGGTGTTGGTGGTAAACCAACGTACTTTCTCCGTGCACCCAAATCAGTCTCACGTAGTCTGTTTATCAATGATTGAGGATCAATCCGATGGTTAAGATTACCGGTCGTATTCCTTGCTGTTTCGGCAGCCGTTAACCTCCTGCTACGCAGGTGTGCCGGTCTTGGCGCATACGCGTAGCGACGTTACGCGTGGACTTCCTGATCGCGGCCGGTCATCGTCTTTTCCCGTACCGGCGTTTTGACGTAACGCTTAATGACTAATTATCGTTGATGTTACACTTGCTGACCCCTTTATAGTAAAACAACATTGTTGGGTAATGATACATATCCTAATGTTGTGTAACGTCCCGGATATGACGAAGGATCGGCTCTAGGGAACAACATTTTGGGGATGTCCGGACGGATGAGAGTCCGGCAACAGATAAGAATTAAATGAATACTGAATCATTTCAAACGATAAAGTTAACGTTGGCTGTACTAAGCCCTGGTAAATGTCAGGGTACAGAAGGCTGCGTCTCAGATACACATACCGGTATACGTAATATCTTCGGTCTACATACTTGCATACAACGGTTAGAATACCGTCGTGTTTAGTAAACAAGCATGGCGCTACATGAGCAAACAACGGTTTTATCATTAAACATTGATGCTTAAGTTGTACAAAAATGGTGCATGCAATGAGTTTGTGTATCCGGTTAAAATAAATTGGTACGTTTTATATTCAATTATTACTGAATGAATCATATTCAGCACCGTTTATGGGCATGATCACATGTACCTGAGAATTTGTTACAGCTATATTTCGACTAGATCAACTTTCAATGATGATATAAACGCCTATATATCATCATTGTGGGTGGCATTTTAACCGAAAGTGGATCTAAACCAT